CTAGCTTTTAGTTTAAGTGCTTGCAATTACTTCACATACAGGCATAACACAAAACGTTGTAGTTAAATAAGAAATCTACCCAGGGGAATTAGGCAATTCTTTTTGTTAGTTAATGAAGACATAATCAGTAGCCCTTAATTTAACTTTTGGAGAGCTCTTTTCAGCCTGTATATTTGCTTTTCATTGTTAATTGAAAATTTCCTTCTTTTTAAGAGTGCCCGTACCCTTAGAGAGTTTGTACATAGTTTTAATAGCTTTACATAGTTTAAAAATACTTCCTATTTTTTTAAAATGACCAAGTGGTTATAAAATGAACTCAACTAATTATCCATATTGAAACTAAATATATAGATCGGCAAATTTGCACAAAATAAGTTTAAACACATCAGTTAACTGACTTTATTGAGGAATCCCTCTTATCTTCCAGTCTGTTACATACTATTATGTTTTCCTTTCAGAATCGAGTTTTTCAGGTTCCCTTCCTGAAAAGTAGCCATACTGATAATATGGAAACACTGCCAAAGAAAATGACCTGAAAATGCAAATATAGAGAAAAATAAGTGCTTTACAGATAATGATTACTATAATACAATTATTAGTAGACACTGAAAGAAGGAACTAGGTTATTCCTCTTTTGTACACTGTGCCTCCTTTTTTTATCTCTCAAATGCTCGGGGTATAAATATTAAGAAAAGGAAACAAACTATCATTTATTGGCTGTGTTAGTACTAATCCTATTTGCATGTATTCTCATGTAATTCTTGCATAATAAGTATTGTCATTTTGTAGATTTAAAAACTGAAGTGCAAGGAGGTTAACATTCTTTAGAAAGCAAAAACTTATATTGAGTTTTTAATTATGTGTCAGATACTGGGCTAAATTTTGAGGAAACAAACTTTAATTAGACAGATCTGTGCCATAGATGGATAGACAGCCCAATAAGTGCATTACAACATTAAAGGGGCTTTACTGAAGTTTCTACAGGGTACAGAGAGGCTGCAAAGGGTGGAGTGGAAATTCTCTGACAGAAGGGTGGGAAATGAGAAGACATTTTGGAAATGACCTTTTGGCTGAAACATGAAGGTAGAGTTCACAATGCAGAAGATGAGGAGGAGGAATTTGTTGACCAAGTGGGTATCATCAGCATAAAGTCTGGTGAGTTTGGGAACTTACAGGCTACAGTGGGGAAAAACAGAGACTTAATATGCAGAGCCAGAATGAAGATGGACAGTGAAGCAAAAATCCAAACCACGGAGATGGCTGTTTGCTATGTGAATGAATGGAGATTGTAGCATGTGAGCAATCTTGAGCTACCAAAGGGTCTTAAGTAGGAGAGTGGGAGGGAAGACCCCTCTGGCATCTGTGAAATGGACCAATTGGAGAGGAAGCAAGACGGAAAAGTCAGGAGACAGCAGTAGTCTGAGGGAGGAGCCATGAAGGCTTGTACGATGGAGATGTCACTGGAGAGGGAGAAAAGATGATGAACTGGAGAGATGGTGAAAAGTATTGATCCTGGTTGTTTTGTAGAAGGAAGAAGGTAGGAAAATGCCTGGTTTCCTTATTTGGGTCACTGGGTTCATAGCGGTGACATCAAGGCAGGAAATGTATGAGGAGGAGCAGAGTTGGAGGAAGGTGACAAGTTCGATTATGAACAAATGGAGTTTGAGAACCCTGTGTTCATCCAAGAGGATTTTGGAGAGAGCTGGAACGTTGGGTGTGAAGGGTTGGAATGTGGAGTGTTGGTAAGTGAGTGGGAAATAAGGAAGGGGAGTTTGGTGGTGAAAGGATGGAAAGACCAGATGGTACCAGGAGAGGAATGCTGAAGAGGGGGGCTGAAGAGTATGGGAATAGCTTGAAATGGCTAATTTAAGGAGGAAGGAAGCCTGGAGCAGGTAAATGGATTGCTAAAGAGCACTAAGGGTCCAGTGAGGTTGAAGACATGGCTTGAGGCAGAAACTCCGAATTACGACTCTGTGATTTTCCCCGGCCGTGCTCTGCAGGGATTGTGGGATTGAGATAAGATAAGGGTTAGCAGGACACACTGGGGAGAAGGGCAGGGAATTAAAATATTTTAAATACAGATTTAAAATATTTTAATCAAATTATTAAAGATTTTAACAAATAGTTTACCATTATCTATATCACTTTTTTTGACAATTTCAGGTGGTTGAATTTTGTACGGAACAAAACCACAATAAAGAAGCCCCGAACCTGCAAAACCAAAGATGCAATCTCCGAAGCACATGGGAAGTGATCCGTGATTCTGAGGACTTTAAGAAAACCACTCCTATGAAGACGCAGCCACCAAAGCCGACCTTCTCATTGCTGCAGATTGGACAAAGAATTGTGTGTTTAGTCCTTGATAAGTCTGGAAGCATGAAGGTAAGGTCAACGAGCCTTGGTCTTCTGGATGCTGGTCACAGATATGAGTACGATATGCTCTGGACCACAACTTGGAACTGGTTGGGGATAAACACAACCTGAGGGTCAAAACAGTTACAACATCCCATCAAAAACTCCCCCTTAACTTTATTCAACAAAGACTCAGCATCAACTATATCATTTGCCAAATTAAATTAGTTTTCAATTTATGAGCCAAGATCTGCTGAATTACTTAAGCTTAACATTTTTTATGACAATATTTTCAATGACAAGATATAGGTCTACAGGTCTATAGTCCTATAGAGGACTTAACTAGAACTACTAGGAAATCACTGAATTTTAATAATTGTATAATCTGGCTTTATCTTTTACTATTTATGGAAGAGGCCCTAGAATTTTACCCAAAGATGCTAAGAAATTTTCCTTCATAGGGCTATGCTTCGAGTAAGCTTGCTGTCATTCAGTCCACATTGAGGCAGCAGCTTCCAAATTCCCTCTAGCTTGTCTGGTGTTAGTCTGACCATCTACAGCCAACCTGACTACTTTTATTCTGTTTCTCCATTCAGACTGGTGACCGCCTTAATCGACTGAATCAAGCAGGCAAACTTTTCCTGCTGCAGACGGTTGAGCAGGGGACCTGGGTTGGGATGGTAACATTCGACAGTGCTGCCCATGTACAAAGTGAACTCATACAGATAAATGGTGGCACTGACAGGGACACGCTCACCAGAAGGCTACCCACAGTGGCTGCAGGAGGGACATCCATCTGCTCCGGGCTTCGATTGGCATTTACTGTGAGACATCTTCCCCTATTGTAGTTTGTCAATGTTTGTAATTAATGTTTCCTAAGAAATCTCTATTTCCAGTGTTTCCGTGCATGCCTAGTGTCTGACTGAATTATATAACCAAGGGCAGAGCAATGGTTCAACTGATGCAAAGCACAGGCCTCCAGAGCGATTATTAACTAATTCATCCATGCTTTCGTGCTTTTCTGCATCTTTGTATTCATGCTTTTCTGCATGCATGCCTGCATTCTAAATATTCTTGGTGTGCTTTCTACATGCTGGGCACTGTGCTAGGCACTGAGAATACCAAGAGTGCCAAACATACACTGCACCTCCTGTTGAGGAGCTTATCGTCTTATTCGGGAAGACACATTAACCCCATAGTAACACAAATCAGTGTATATTCATGAGCTGTAATGAGTGCTGTGAAGAAAAGGTAACCAAGGGTGTAACGGTACCTTCTATGGGAAAAAGAAAAGAGCGATGAGTACAGTTAAACTTTGAGAAGGCTGAATACTCCAAACTTCTGGGTATATTGGATCTCCCTTTGGGAAAGCAAATCGCTTATTCATTGAAGCAGGAGGCCTTAGGAACTGTAACTGTGATTCTATTGGAGTCATATCTAAAGATCTTATCTGACCATCCAATCATATCATCCCTCTACTCAGATATCAATGTCTCCCCATTTTCAACAGAATTAAGTAAAAATTCCTCTATCCAATATTTAAGATCTTTCATGATAAAGCCCCTACCTTCTTTCCCAGGCCTCAGCGCCAGGGACTCTCTTGACTCACCTGTCCTTTGCCACACCTTTGCCAGGCTAATACTTTCTCTTCCCTTCTTTGCACCTCAAATCACACTCATTCTTCAAAGACTCATCAGAGACACCACCTATTTCTTGACGTCTTTCCTGGTCCTTTCAACTGTGTAGAATCTCTCTTTCTGAATCCTGTGACTCTAAGAGAAAAAAATCTCATAACTTCTAGACTTTGCTGTCTTATATTCTAATCATGTGTTTCAATCATGCAAAACTTCTTTAGGGATAGGACTATCTTTTTATCTTTTACCTTCCAGGCTGCTGGCACAATATCACTTACACAGGAGGTTCTTAGTAAGTAAAATTGAATGCGCTATTTGATGTACTAATAACACCTGGTGCTTAATTGCTCCAAAGATAGAATACAATATTCTATATTCATTTAGAGGCTGTTTAGCCACGGGAAAAGGACAAATAGGAGGCTGAAAGAGGCTGGCTGGCCTAAGGTCTCAGAACCTTGCAGCGTCCTGGGCAGGTCTGCCCTCTACCTGCTTCTTGGGCACAACACATGTCAGTGGGGCTGTTCCTGCTTCCCAAGTGGTAGAAGGAACATGTAGTTTCCAGCTGTCTGATGTGGACACTGGACTCAACCATTTCCTCAGATGCTGTCTGTCCCTCTGGCCCTTTTATTACCTTGAAGGTCAGTTCCCTAAAAGTGATTTCTATTGCATACACGCTCAGCCGCAAAACTGTTCTCCAGAAACTTGTATGCATCTGGGTTCTATTGCCTCTGCCACCCATCCAAGCTTTGATTAAAGAAGCAAACCAGGGAGAAAAACTGACAATGAAATCAGTGATGTGCTGCATTGAACTCCTGCCATGCAAATCCCCAAGGGAGATGACTAATGCCAGATGGCGTGCTGGTGAAGAGAGAACCGGTTCTGCGTTTCCATTCAGATGGGTGGGAGAGCGTGTGAAAGATGTGACTGGAATTTACAATTCCCTTCCTCCCCAGTGGAGACTGGGTGTGGAGTGGGAGGAGCTTCAGAGTTCTGCGGCAGAGGGCCTTGGATCTTGCGGTGTCCTCAAGACTGCTGGGCCCTGCTGTAGGACTCTGGTCAGGCCTGTTTGGGGCTCCTTGTAGTGCTGTCTGCTGCAGCCATAGAACTTCAGCTTGTTCTCTTGCCTTGATCAGGGCCCAGTGGTCCCTGAATGACTCAGCTCCACCCTGGCTCTCAGCGCTGGGCAGAGCCCTGAGCACCCTCATGTCCTCCAGTAGACCTCTGGCCAGGCTGTACACTCCTCAGCCTCTACAGCAGGATGACCTGTTCTCTCACCTGCTGACTGTCAACTCAGCTGCCTTCTGCTCCCCACTGGGGTATGTGGGAACTTCTGCCTGTTTTCTATAACACACAGCAGTTATGGAGAGTGAGACAAGGGAATCCAAATTGGGCCCTTTCTCTGGCCTCTCAGCCTCTGCAGCTTGGTCAGGGCAAGGTCACAACCACAGATGACAGGCTCCTGGGCTCTGGGCTCCTTTACAAATCAGCAGTCACAGCCCTGCTGTGTTATGTTGCCAAAGGCATGTGGAGCCTACTCTCAGAATTCAAATGGGGAGTGGGCTGGAAGTCTCCTCTGCCCTCTGCTTTCCTTTCAACCTTCTTATGGCGCCTTCCCTTTCTAAGATTCTGGTAGAGAGGAAAGGTTATTTAGGCTTGTTTGCTTGTTTTCCCTGCTTCTGGGTCTCTCCATCTGCTCTTTTTAGAGAAAGAGTAGCCTCTTGCTTTCCTCTTCTTAAGTAACACGATTCTTTTATATAATTTTCTTTCCATCATAGTCTTATTCAACACAGGCAGAAGTATCCTCTCTATACCGCATAAGAAAGTATAATCTGATTCTACCAGAAATAGCTGAGACACAGTTAGCATAGAACAACTAGGAACTGGGGGTTAATAGGAACAAAATATTTTGCTTAATCAGAAGGGATATTAAAAATTTTAAGAACTCATGTGACCTGGGCAGTGACCGATCAGAACCAATGCCAGCCATAAATAGTGGGTATGGTCAGACTAGGGAATGTCATACAAGCTAAAACCTGCCCTGTTTGTCATATCTCCCCAATATAATCCCCATTAAGTAAAGATGGTTCCTGAAGGCATCTTGGAACCTCTTAGAGCCTGTGAAGGAGAGATCATGTGAAGGTAACTGGGAAAACCTTCTCTGCTGCTTTGCACTGCTGTTCATTCCAGAACTGCACCCCACAGCACCCCTCCCAGCAGCAGGCTAGCAAAGAGAAAAGACCGTTTTCAAGTTCCATGAATATTGCTGGTTTAAAATTAAATCATTTCAAGACAGACAGGTATTTGCCCATTCTCAGACACTTTTGTTTATTCCCTCTGGAATATCTCTTCTCATTCCTTATAAGTGCAGTTTTCACAAACATTGTGGCCACCCTGAGTCTGGATAACTCATGCTCTGAATTATGACCTTAGGTGATTAAGAAGAAATACCCAACAGATGGATCAGAAATCGTGCTGCTGACCGATGGAGAGGACAAGACTATAAGTGGGTGCTTTAAGGAGGTAAAAGAAAGGAAGGTTATCATCCACACAGTCGCCCTGGGGTCCACGGCGGCTGGAGAACTAGAGGAACTGTCCAAAATGACCGGTGAGGGATGGTCTGCTGAGACCCACTGTATTGTCTCTCCCACTGACTGTGGGCTCCAGAGGACAGGGGAGTGGGGGTAAGGTGGGGAGAGATAGAGGTAATCCTCTTGGCCAACTAGCTGCCCTTATCCCCAAACAGCCATTAGAACTGACTCCACCCATTTTTTTAAGGCCTTGGTTTCAGGACTAAGGCAGTGTGGAGAAGATGGGACTAGCACAGCACCCTTGTGAGGACTCAGGGATCTCTTCCTAGGCACCTTATGAGAACTGGAGGGGATCTAATAGGTTGCCAACTCACTTCCAGTTGGCAGCTGGCCGAGAGACCCAGAGGAGGTAGATGACAAGCCACTAAGTACATAATACCCTGACACAAGTGCTACGTTAGCAACAGAAAGTACAGTAAGGCGTAAAGAAGCGAGCTTTAAATTTTCCTGGGGATGAAGAGTCCGAGTAGGAGAGGAAAGAGTAGCAGGGGAAGGGCAAAGGGCATGGTGAACAATGCAGAAGGTCACTCCAAAAATGTGTATAATGCAATGCAATTTCTCCATAAAACATTAATGTACCTGTTGTGCATCTAATTCCCATACACAGACAAATGGTTAACATAGATCCCATATGTCCCAGGCTGTCTTAGCAAAGTAGGTGAGGACAATTTTCTTTCTTTCTTTCTTTTTTACTTAGGGACAGTATTATGGATATCAATTATTATACCGAGCTGCCTCCTGAGGCAGCTACAAGGACAGGATTTTTTGATCCTAATATTACCTGTCTTGGGCTGGGTTTCCTAGAATCAGAGCCTAAGGGAGGGATGTGGATGCATGTAATTTACAGAGGGAGAGCTCTCAGGAGAAAAGGAGGGAGAGAGGGATAGGGCAGGGGAAGGAGCTACGCACAGATGCCAACTTAGAGTCTAGCTGAAGTGTGACCCCACAGGGGGCTCTGGATGGAGAACTGCATCACACACTTGGTCCCACCTGAGGCAAGAGGGCTGGCCCTTTTACTGCTGTATCCATCAGTCACTGGCCATGGACTGTCAGGGCAGGGCAGAGGGGAGAGCCTCTTTAGGTAGGGTGACCCCTTATAGGAAGGTAATTCTCTGGAAAAGGAGCTAGCTTTAAGCCATTAGCGGCCAAAACTTAGAGCAGCTGGGGAGAGATACTCTTGCCTAGATAAGAGGATACTGGTGGTGCATCAGCAGCATTACTGAAACACTTTCCTTAAATTGGATGACGTTTTAATAGTTTAAAAGTGCATTCATATCAACCATCTTAGTTATACCTGTTCTAAATAGCCCAGACTGCCAGGCCTGGTATATAATCTTATTTTTACTATATATTATACTTTTCTATAACTATCACTTTGTTATTTCTTGCTGTTGTCACATACATGTTTTTTCTGATTTAGAAGAAAACTCTCAAGCCAAGTTTGTTAGAATTACGTCTTAAGTTAATAAATTTAAAAGAAATGAGTAAATTAATAGGCATGGAAGGCAGCTTTATGGATGCTCTCATGTGAAAGCACATAGCCTTTAAAATGTAGGTTTTATGATACTAATTTTGGCTTGTCAGAGATTCATGGCCGCTTTGCAGATAGGTGAAGTAGCCAGATGACTTAGATATTGCTGAAGCTGTTATTTATTAGAATTAAAAAATTAGTATCAACTCCTGAGTTAATCTGGGCACCTGTCTGATGTTGATCTACTTTATTCTTTAATAACACAATGGATATTTATTTTGTGTATTCTGCTATCTTAACAACAGCTAAAATGTTCCAAATACTTGCTTTCAGGAAAACAACTTCTGACAATGTAATTGCATTTTAGGAGGTTTACAGACATATGCTTCAGATCACGCTCAGAACAACGGCCTCATTGATGCTTTTGGGGCCCTTTCGTCAGGAAATGGAGCTGTCTCTCAGAGCTCCATCCAGGTTGGACTTCTTACCCTTTTATTTTTCATGTTTATACATAACCATAACCAAGACAGATAATTTAATAGTTAAAATTTTTAAGTTCCACATTCTTCTAGTAGTGAATTAAAATAGAGGGTTTATCCTGATTTTAGATCATTTAAACACAGCAATTAGTGTTTACTTGTTTGGAAACAACACTAAATGACTTCTTCATAGAAACCAGCCACCTAAAATGTAATAGGTTCAAGAGTTCTTTTCTAACATCTGTTAACATGCCCCAATAGCAACATAATTGGCTCTGGATTTTCTTCAGAGTAGATCATCTCAATTACAAATTTTCCGGGACAAGGGTTCAGGGATTACTTGCTCTATTTTTCCATTACCTCAAATCCCCGATGTTTGCCAAGATTTTTATATAATGGGTGGAAAGCACTTTGTACTACGAAAAGCCCGTGGTGTCAGTCCAGACACCTAGATCTTAGTCTTGGTTCTGCCATTAACTCTGTGACCATTGGCAAAGAACATCACCTCTCTGGGCTTCATTTCTCCACCAGGTATAAACCAGAAAACCTCCATGGGCCAATCTGGTTCTAAAATTTCAGAAACACCAAATTGTCTTTCAAAAGTATTGGGACTACTTAAAAGATGGACAAGTGTATTTCAAAATGATCTTTTCCAGTAGTTGCAGAAATTACTCACGTGAATTTTTAAACTAGACAGAATAACAATCGGCACTCACACTGCTGTGAATTACAACTTTTACTATGAAAGTTTGGATAAAGGTAAAGGAATATTGTAACATCGAAGCCTAATGATGACAGAGTTTAAAACAATAGGCTTTCTAGTCTATTGATGTAGCATTTGTTCAATCTAGGCAGGTAGCAATTATACTCATCTGGGTTATTCTAGTTCAGATTTAGAAAATTAAACTTAAGGGCCTGGTTTGGAAAAGGGAAGAATGAGTCTTTGAAAAGTAATTAAAAGGATGAAAGGACAAGTTCACAGTCAGGCAGTTTCTGCCCATTATTTTTGTATTTAAGAAACCTAACAGGAAGAGAGGTAGAGAAATGAGCAAGACCCATTTACTAACCTGCCATACAGACCTTCACTGTCTCCACATCCAACATCATAATCTACCTGTGAAACTAGAAAATCTGCCTCCATGACCAGGCCACTTATCTTCTAATAGGGACCTATTTAGGGATGTTAGTAACTCCCTATGAGATAATCCTCAAAATCACACTTTCTACAAGAGCCTTGTTAATCCTTCCCTACCTCAATCCCTGCTCTGTAGCTCCTTCATTCTACCCCAAACAGCAAACCAGACACTGGCTTATTTCATTTATCTTCACAGAGACTGCAATAATGCTTGACCTAGCAATTAGGTAATTCAAACAATCCATATGTAGGTAAAAAGTAAGTCACAGTAAGTCCCCTTCAGTTTTTTTTATAGTCTAGTGAATGAGATGAGCTGTGTATACCAATAAGTATAAAGTAATGCACAATGTGAGGAATGTCGAAGGACTGAGAAATAAAATCCTATGAGAGTTCACAGGAAAGAGAGATTATTTACAACTGATGAGTGTGATGGACATCAGAGAAAGCTTCACAGAGAAAGGGATATTTGAATTGAACTTTGAAGGAGGAGTAAAACACAAATGGAGAAGAATGTAAAGACTTCCAGGAAAATCAGAGAATGATAAAGTCATAGAGTCAGGAATTCCTAGGGATCATCTGGGGAAGTGGTCTTGTTTGCGTGGAGGAAGGAATATTGTGGAAGCTAAGGCTGGAAAGGTAATTTAGAACTAGCTCATAATAGGTCCTGAACACCAAACCAAGGACTCAAGCATCACTGAAAGCTTTTTAATGAGGCACTTGGGGGTCAGAGGTGGAACGAAAAAGACCACATGATGGGTGATGTATTCTCCAGAAAGTAAAGAGTTGTTTTTCTTAACAGCTTGAGAGTAAGGGGTTGACCCTCCAGAACAGTCAGTGGATGAACGGCACAGTGATTGTGGACAGCACTGTGGGAAAGGACACGTTGTTTCTTGTTACCTGGACAACACAGCCTCCTCAGATTCTTCTCTGGGATCCCAGTGGAAAGAGACAAGATGGCTTTTTAGTGGACACAAACACCAAAATGGCCTACCTCCAGATCCCAGGCACTGCCGAGGTATGGAGTCAACTTTTTTCCTTCTCACAATTTGATAAGGTAAAATAAAGTTTTTACAGAATAACTGTAGCTTTTCAAATGTTGGTGGTTGCTAAAAGAAAAGTCAGTATTGAATCAAAGAGAGCACAAGGAAACATCTCCATCCAGTGAAAATCACCCAATAGGAAGTCAAGGGAAAGAAAATTGGTGATTTTTGCCCAGGAACTAAAGGGAGAAACTTCAAATTACATAGCAGTCAAGATTGAAAAATAATCCTCGAAGCTTCAGAATTATGGAAACAATTTTCTGTACCTCAGGAACCTGTCTCTTGAAAAACCAAGGCAATGAGAAAGACACAGACTTCATTTTCCCCAACTAGAATTTTCTTGACAGTGGAAACCATGTGGTTAGTCCAAACCCACTGATGATTCCCTTGGCTGACAAAGAATCAAAGGCGCCCACATCTTCCTACAGATGCTTGCAACGTTCTTGTACCAGATAGGCTTTTCCTATAGGGAACATTGAAGCCAGGTCTGTGTCACCTGAAGTTATTAACTGGAAATGTCTCCATTTGTTTTGGTCAGGTTGGCATTTGGAAATACAGTCTGCAAACAAGCTCACAAACCCTGACTTTGACTGTCACCTCCCGCGCATCAAGTGCTACCCTCCCTCCAATTACAGTGACCTCCAAAATGAACAAGGACACAGGAAAATTTCCCAGCCCTATGATAGTTTATGCAAATATTCGCCAAGGAGCCTTGCCGATTCTCAGGGCCAGTGTTACAGCCCTAATTGAATCAGTGAGTGGAAAAACAGTTACCTTGGAGTTACTGGACAATGGAGCAGGTAACCACCCAAGAAATTGGAAAATATCTTTCTTTTTCCAAGAAGCAACCAGGAAATGGCAGGAGGGCATGGTCTGATGAGGACAGTTAGAAGCAGGGAGCCCAGCACTGGGGGTCTGGTTGTGAGAGTTCTCTGCTTCCTCACACTTCCTATATTTCAAAATGTTGGAAACCATGAAGAAGGGCCCACCTTTAACTTCTGCAAAGCCTGAAATGCACTAGTGGCTAAAGCTCAATAGACTCAGAGACTCCAGGGAATTGTCAGAGGCTATTCTACACCTCCCAAAAAAGCAAAGGAAGAAAATGAATAGCTATTTTGTGTTAGGTGCTTTGTGTGGATAGAGACGCACATACACATATATACGTATATATACATGAGGGTACTGCAAAAAGTTCATGGAAAGATTCATATTATCTTTCAGTTCTATTTTTTCCACGAACTTTTTGCAATACTCTCATACAAAAAATATATACACAAAAACATATATACAAAGATATATATATATATAGAGAGAGATATCTTTGTTTTGATCTTTACCACACACTTTTGAGATATTATTTCTACATTACAGGTGAAGAAACTCAGACTTTCGCATTTAGAAAGCAGCAGAGATGGATTTGAGCACAGTTCTATGATTCCTTTTTCTATACTAGCTTGCCCCCAAAGTGAAAATTTTGCCCATTATTCTTACATTTAAGAAATCTGTCATAAAGAAAGAGAAAGAGAATTCTACATTTGTTTTAGAAGGAACATGTCTGCTTACTGTGATGCAAGTAGCCTTATCAGAACATTCTGCAAATGAATTTCCTACCTAAATCTACCCTAGGGAGAAGTCCTGAATTTTATTAAATAATCATATAACAATTCAATTCAGTTCAGCAGATACATGTTGAGTAGTTACCTTGTGTGATGTTGGTGTAACGGGGACACATGACATGCTCTCTGATTTCAAACAGAAAGAGCAATCTAGGAGAACAAGATGTACACATACAAAACCACACACACACACACACACACACACAAAGTGGTAAAAGAAGAAGTAGGCCTCATACTTAGCACAGTCAAATCTTAAGGTCTCTTGGAGATAATACCTAATTTCTCTTTGCTTTGAAAAATTTTAACCCACATGAGTTGGAAATATACAAATGCCCAATTACCTTCAGGACATCCATTAATTCTTTCATTTCCCTGTCAAGGTGCTGATGTTACTAAGGATGATGGTGTCTACTCAAGGTATTTCACAGCTTATGATACCAATGGTAGATACAGTGTCAAAGTGTGGGTTCTGGGAGTAATTAACACAGCCAGAAGTGGAGTGATACCACAGCAGAATGGAGCCCTATACATACCTGGCTGGATTGAAAATGGTGAGTAATCTGTAGTAACACACCTAAAAGGTTTGGGATCGAGAGGAAACCATTAAGCCTGTGGGGCACAATGGCACATGATTAAATCAGGGTTTCTCAACCCTGGTACTATCAGCATTTGGGGCCAGATAATCCCTTAATGTGGAAGCCTGTCCTGTGCATTGTAGTATGTTTAGTAGAATCTCTAACCTCTACCCACAGGATATCAATAGCAGCCCTCCTGTCATGACAATCCAAAATGTTTCTGTACATCATCTACTGTCTCCTAGGTGGGCAAAATAGCTCCCAGTTGAAAACCACTTGACAGTACATAGCTTCTGACTGCTTCAGTTCAAAGCCCAGCACTCTATCAAATAAAGTATTTTGGATAATCTCTTTGTGCTTCGCTTTCCTCAGCTGGAAAATAGGAATAATAATGGTAACTATCTCATACTACAGTTTTGAGAAATAAACAAGAAATAAAAAAGTAAATGCATCTAATAAGCTGTTGCTGGCAAATAGTAAGTGTTCAGTAAATGTTTTGTTATTTTTTAAATAAACTTCATTTTTAAATGAAGCTCTTTTCACTGGTATTAGCATTTCCACAGAATAAAAATATAATAATTTAGGGCTTATTATCTACATCAACATCATTATTATAAGCCCACTGTCTCCCTTTCCTCCTCTTTCTTCCTGCTCAGACCAAGCAAAATAGCAGGCAAACCTAATACCAGTCAGCACACTGAGCCTGCATGTAGGCAGGTAGGAAAATTATGTCCATGAAAGAGTCCCACACCACTCTTGGTCACAAACACTTTGCTGAGTCCTGGTGGTTTCCAGGACTTGTTTTCCATCAGTCTCCACTCTGTCCTGTGTAGACTGCTTCCAACTGTCCTCTTTACTCGGGTGTGTGCTTAGTAAGGGGAGCATTCTGAGACACGTGGTGTCCCCTCATGCAAAGGTGATCATAGGAAAAAATGCATTAAAAAACACCACTGCTTTTTGAGTTAGGGGAAGAAGGTAGAAGGGGACTGGTTTAGTGGCTGTGTCTAGCCTTATCACAGTATTTTACTTACATTAGTACATTTTATTTTCCTGAGCTGGGCAGTTAGCTCAGTTGGTTAGAGTGTGGCCTTGTAACACCAACGTCAAGGGTTTGGTTCCCCATGTCAGCCAGCTTAATAAAAAAAAACAAAAACAAAAACAAAAAACCAAAAAACATTTCATTTTCCTAAGTATCCCTTTTTACAGGTGGGGAAACAGAGGCTTGAGAGGTTATTGGTTCATATAACTAATACTGATCATGTCTGGTTTAGCATTAGGAAGCCATACTCTTTTCTGTATCCCTTGATGAGCCTTGATACCAAAAGGGACTATCTCTACTTGTGAATCAAATACTAATCCTGAACCTGCCAAAGTGTTCACTTCATCTTTGCCCAAGACCAGGTTAATGGGTATGATGATTAATCTGTCTTTATGATAAAATATTTGAGGGCTAAACAAGTAGAGTTTATTAAAAAAGCAAATTCTGAGCAACTCATGTTAAGATATAATAGAATATTTTTATTGAAAAGATAATCTGAGAACCCCACCGGTTGAGTAGGACAGGGCATTTTTTGAATTCCAGGATTATTTTATACAACCTTTCAACAAAATGTGGGATTGCTACAAGAACTAGGTTCCCACACATTCATTAAAAAAATCAGGAGTCCTTCAAAATCATAAAATTTTGGAACCCCTAACATAAAACATTTCATGAAAAACTGCAATCTAATAAGAAAGACAAAACATGAATGTGAAGAAAGTGAAAGAAGAATGTATAGAATAAACAATCAAGTATTCTTAAAGGCCCAGATGACTTAATGCCAAATAAGTAGGAAAGATAATGAAATCCACAGTATTATCTAGGTGGAAGAGATTTCTTGAGGCAGCCTGAGGTTTAAAACAGAGGTGGTATTTATTTTTATTTATTTATTTTTTTTTCCTTTTTGTCTTTTTTACTGACCGGTAACGGGATCGCAACCCTCGGTGTTGCGCCCGCACCGCGCTCAGCCAGTGAGCGGGAACCGGTCTCCACATGGGATCCGAACCCTCAGTGGGAGCACCGTCGCGCTCTCAAGCGGCGCACTCTCCAGTGCGCCACCGGGCCGGCCCCAGAGGTGGTATTTAAACTGACCTTGTGGAAGGGTAAGATCAGGATATGTGAAAAGATGGGAAAAGAAATAATTCCTGGACAAATGATATAAAAATAAATTCCAAAAAGTTATTCCACCAAATATCCAGGAAATATCTGTGAGATAAAGAACTATGATTCACTGCTTTTTGCCCATCTGTATTAGTATGTTTCTGTAGGTTATAACAAAATACACAGAACTAGTTAATTTATAAAGAAAACAAAATTTATTGCTTACAGTTTCAGAGTCTGGGAAGTCCAAAGTCCAGGAAACACTTATGGTGAGGGTCTTCTTTGGTGGTGGCTTTTCGGCAGTATAGGGGTCTCATATGGTAGAAAATGGTGGAGCAGAGAGAGACACTAACCTCCTCATTTACTCTCCTTTTAAAGCTCTCCAAACCATGCCCATGACCACCATTTTAAATCTATGCACTACGACATGGTCCTACAATCTAATCATCTCTTCAAGGCCCCACCTTTCAATTTCTATAATAGGATTTCCCACTCTCAACAGTTACAGTGGGGATTAAGTTTTGGGGGGACATTCAACCCAAGGCACCTTCTGATACAACTTGATCTGGAGTCTTGTCACTGAACATTTAAAATAAATTTTGTCTGGGATGAAAGAACGGGAAGGGGAGAGTCCAAAGAGGGCAATTCAATAAGAAAACAGGAGGACGTATAGACATTTAGTAGTGTTGCTTACCATACTTTGAGTCATTTTTTTAATGCAGGTGAAATAAAATGGAATCCACCAAGACCTGAAATTAATGAGACTGATTTTCAAGACAAGCAAGTGCGTTTCAGCAGAGCATTCTTGGGAGGTTCATTTGTAGCCTCCAATGTCCCAAAGGCTCCCCTACCTGATCTCTTCCCACCTTGCCAAATCACTGACCTGAAGGCAAAAATCCAAGGGGACAACCTCATAAACCTAACTTGGACAGCTCCTGGGGATGATTATGATCATGGAACAGGTAACTGAACATAGTGTAGACCCTATGAAGGAGTTTGCCAGCCAAGCAGAGGTGCAGAATGGGGTGAGGCAGGCAGGCATGTTGTGATGGGTGAGGGGGCAGGAAAGCAGGGAGGATCTTGACCATCCTCTGAAACGAAAGGTAGAGTCTATGGCCATACCATCCTGAATGTACCTGATCTCATCTGAAATGAAAGGTAGAGATGTTTAAATGAAAAAGGTATAAAATCTGAAAAACTGGACTGCTTTAGGAATAACCAGGAAAGATAATCCTAATTTTTTTTTGAAATCTTGCCAAACTATCCTTTAACATACCCCATTTTCAGTAGTGACTCCTGGGGAAGGACTGGGTATAGAGCATAGATACCTACTGAGCAGAGCTGCCCTTTGGAAGAAACCTCAGGTCCTAACAGGATTACCCTTTCAGAGTGTGGTCTGTGGACTGCACCATGGGCACCACATGAATGCTTGTTAGAAATGGAGAACCTCAGGCCTGACCCCAGACCTACTGTGCCAGAATCTGCATTTTAAGGTCCTTGGGTGATTTTTATGCACATTAAAATTTGAGAAGCACTAGTACAAAGCACTCTATAAATAACACAGTAATAAGTAGATATTCAATAATCTCTTTTCTTAGCCAAGCACCATGCCCAGAAATGCTGACCAAGGCTTAAAGTCATGCCAATCCAGTTTTACATTTATTACTTTGTTAGGATATACAGACAAGAATGTAAAAGAGATACAACCCTTATAAATATGGACCATCGTTTCCATTTATTCATTGGAGTTTTATAAGATGGTGATATAATTTCTAATAGACTGTAAAGCTTCTTTAAGATTTGAGAGTTACGAGTCATATCCTTTTTTATTTTTTTCTCTTTGTAGCTCACAAATATATCATTCGAATAAGTACAAGTATTCTTGAACTCAGAGACAAGTTTGATGATTCTCTTCAAGTGAATACAACTGATCTCATCCCGAAGGAGGCCACCTCTGAAGAAGTCTTTGCGTTTAAACCTGAAAACATCACTTTTGAAAATGGCACAGATCTCTTCATTGCTGTTCAGGCTGTTGATAAGGCCAATCTGAAATCAGAAATATCCAACATTGCACGAGTATCTTTGTTTATTCCTCCGCAGACTCCTCCAGAGATACCTAGTCCAGATGGCTCTTCTGTTCCTTGTCCTGAGATTAATATCAACAGCACTATTCCCGGCATTCACATTTTGAAAATTATGTGGAAGTGGCTAGGAGAATTGCAGCTGTCGGTAGCCTTGCACTGAGTTTTCATGAGATGAATAAAATGAATCATGCATGCTTCCTTTGATTATAAAAATTTCTAAAATGTATTTTAGATTCCTGTAGGTGGCGATATAATGAAATAAAATGCTAAACAGCTGGGTACACATGTATAAAATCTGTTCACCTCCAAAAGTTTAACCATCGCTCTGTCTTTTATTAATGATTTTGAATACCAGAAAGAAGGAGGGCTTGTATCAATAATGGAAGTATGTTTTAATAAGTTTTAAGTAGCTTTGCCAGTTTAAAAGGATGCGAAATTATAATTACTCTAATAGAGCTGCTAAAAGTTGTTTGGTTTCTTTTGGTGAAGGATGACAGAAATGTCCAAGCCAGATTATTTAAATGTAAAAGGCATGATTTATTATATAAGAGCTTTGGGCCAACACCCTCAGGTACATGTTTGTCTCCTTTTCTCTAGATTTAAGCAAGAATGATGCATTTAAGGCAGAGATCGCATTGTAGAAAGAAAAAACAGCATGAGGAATGTTCCATAGGCACAGAAATGTATGTTATGTGCATAAAATTATGAGTCAGGGATGCTTAAAGCCACAGTGGTGGGAAATGAGGTGGGAAAAGTGGCTTCAGGCCAGATGCGAAGGAAAAATGATTGAGAAATAAATATTTATTGTGTACTTTGTGCCAAGTGCTCTACTAACACCTTATATGTATTACCTTATTTAATGTAATTCAGTTTGTTCAACAAATGTACATCAGCTGCCTACTATGTTCCGAGCCTATGTTAGGCCCTGAGCATAGAAATATGAGGAAGTGTTGGCCTTTTACCTGTAGGCAAAAAGAACATTTGAGAATTTATTTTTTAAATCAGGAGGCAGATATGATTGGAGCTGTGCTTGAGAAGGGGGCTTTGAGGACCACAGAAAGAGCTGAATAAAGGTGGGAGAGGCTAGAAGCATGACAGATGAAAGGGGAAGAAAAAGAAAAGGAAAAAGGTATGCAAATACAGACCTAGCAGTATAGCAGTCCCCATCAAGAACTAGTCACAGATCCCAGTGCCTCCAAGGGTAGACATTCTTGTGAAAATTGTTTCAAGTTTTCAGTTCATTATAAGTTCAAGATGTGGGTGGCTCTTTTGTGACTGAAACTAAAATATCTATCTAAGATATTGTTTCTATATATACCCAAAATTTATTCTTTATTATAGACCTTTCTTATTTCAAAACATGTTTGAGGCACCTTAGAGATACATGCAATAAACATAATAAAAAATAAACAAATGGAATAAAGTAAGTATATAACGATAACTAGAGGAAATATCAGTGCATCCAGTACATAATATAATGTTCTATACAATTGCTACAGTCAGGTCACACGTTTCATTTTGAGCTTTCGAGTAGCGTCTATGGCCAAAGGAGACATACTAGTATAAGGTAACAAGATTAACAGTTTACAGTTAAAGCAAACTAGAGGCTCCAGAGGAGCATGCCTTTCCCTAGTCCTGAGACCCATGAGAAGTCTCGTCTATCGCTCCTCAATAAATTAGGGCACTGTAATGTTCAAGTATAATGTTCAAGGCTGCAGCCTCAGCAACATCCATATAATAATCACGACAGCAAGTTTAATATAGCGCTAATCACAACATCTTTTACTGTAAGCCAAGGCAGTAATACTACAGCATTGTTCAGAAAAGGCAATTATACACGGGCCCAAACTGTGCAGGTCTGGCAAGTCGCTCTTTAGCTTGCCCCAAAGATAAAATTTGGAGTGAATGGATTGCATGTCCTTCAGTAGTTTTCGATGACTAGCGTTTCTTGCACACAAGTTTGTTATGGTAACTGAACAGCAGAGAATTCCAAGACTAAGAAGTTGAAAGTTCCAAGACTGATGTCTTAAAAGTCAGTATTGTTTATTGAGGGCATATCCAGGTGCCACATGGGCAGATGATCAGATTGGAGTCCTCCTCTGAAAGTTACAGAACCAAACCAGGGCACATACCTGACGAAAGGGCCACTTCTAATAAGTTACTCACTCAGATTTCAGTTTCCCATTTGGGTGAGCTCAGTGGAATGTACCATGGGATATAGTGAAGAACTGCATAGGGAGGTGTAGTAGTCTATTTGTGTTGCTATGACAGAAATACCTGAGACTGGGTAACTTATAAAGTACAGAGGTTTATTTGGCTTCTGATTCTGGGACAGCTGCATCTGGCACGGGCCTCAAGCTGCTTCTACTCATGGCGAAAAGTGGCAGGCAGCCAGCGGGTACAGGTAGATCACATGGCAAGAGGAAGCAAGAGAGAGAGAGGGGAGGTGCCAGGGTCTATTAAACAACCAACTCTTGTGGGAACTAATAGAGTGAGAACTCACTCATTAATCCTCCCTCCCCCAGGAAAAGCATTAATCCATTCATGAGGGATCTGCCCCCATGACTCAAACTGCCACGTTGGGGATCAAAATTCCACATGAGTTTTGGAGGGGACAACACATCCAAACTCGATCAGGACATATGATGTGACTTCAGAGGAGAAAAAAAGGTAAATGTCAGCACGGAGATAAGATAGAAAGTGTAGAACAGCAAAGAAAAACATTCTTTATGTATTCTGGGTTATAGGGCAATTTATTGCAAAATGGATCTGGATTGTCATATGTGATAAAATAAGCCCAAATTTTCCCTTATTCCATCATTGCCCCACAATGACCTTAATTAATTGTTTCCTTTGCTGTGCAGAAGCATTTAGTTTGATATAATCCCATTGGACTATTTTTGTTTTTGTTGGCTGAGCCTTTGGGGTCAAATACAAAAAAATCACTGCCCAGACCAATGTCATATGGTTTTTCCCTGTTCTCTTTTAGCAATTTTATGGGTTCTGCTCTTACATTTAAGTCTTCAATCCAGTTTGAGTTGATTCTTGCATATGGTGTGATACAAGGGTCCAATTTCATTTTTCTGCATATGGATATAAGGATCTAATTCTTTTCTTTCACCCAATGATAATCTGTTGACATCAACACCAGCCAAAAATAAGAAAGAGAGAGAGAGAGAGAGAGGCAATATAAGCACTATATTTTTTAAATTATACTTCAAAAAACTACCTGACATATGGCTTTGATGGATTTTACTTGCCCCCAAGTATTTCTCCATGGTTTTAGACTTTTAAAGAATTGCCAAAATCTTTCCAAAAAACATGCTTCTAAGCATGTTTGTGAGAGTGATTCACTAAAATAAAGAGAAGACAAATCAAAAAAACCGTCTTTGAGGAGGCTTACAGTAAAATTTCACACAAATAATCAAATATAACAATCTAGATAATAACTTAAATAATGAGGACAAGAACATCATTGAATTAGAATGCCTAAGCAATGCATAGTTATTATAATTGAGAAAAATCTATTTAACCCAGTTCCTGGAACTCAAATGCCAAAGGGGAAACATGTTAAATGGTTTTTCCTAGCCTATTTTAACTGCTGCTGGAGATAGACATCTTCCTAAATTTCAAAAGCAATTCAGTATCCATAAGGGGGTTGGGGGATGGACCAAAAAACATGATAAGCAGTAGAATGGACAACACAATCCAGACTCCTCAGGGAACAATAAGTTCATGTACAATTCAGGCAGAAACAGGAATGCAGCTAACCCTACAAGCAGGGTGTGGCAGTGAGCCCAGGGCAGCACTTGAAGGATCCAGGCAATCAGTCTTCCTAGACCAAGACTTTAGTATCTGGGGGTTGGAAAGCAGAATACTACTGCTACCATCATTACCCCATCAACTGGGTTAGGGGAGGTGCGGGGGAAGGGAGAGGTGAGTGGGGTTTCAGGCCAAGAAGAGAATGGTATGACATTATTATCATCGTAATTTGTATTTCATCTGGTAATGATAACAGCCACCACTTACTGTTTTGTTTATTTATTTTTTATCTAAGTGCCAGGCACTCAGTACCTCACTTACTCACATCCAGGCCCTTCCCTAATATTTGAGGGTCCTGGGGCAAAAGTACAAATGGAGATCCAGATATCATGTGTCTAAATATGCAAACATTACAAATCAGGCTAAAAAGCTGTTAAAGTGTGTTTATCTCCTATCTTGATAAATATACCTTCACAATGACCTGGAAGGCCAGGTTCAAATTTAAAATTCTTAGAAACCTCCCAGTGTTATGCTGGATCATGACAACTCAGGTTACTTTTGAAATCTCTCAGTGTCATGCTGGAACATGGGCTATGGTGCACCCTCTTTTCTTCCTACCCTTCTCCACTCTACCATCCAAACCCCCTGGGGTCTCATGCACATGGATGTGGCCCCTTCAGCCCACATACCACTTCACCAAGTGCCCTTTTTCCATCTTTCCAGCTTGGAGGTGTGTACATCTTTGACACAATCTGCAATAGGGAGAACTGACCCTCGTACCCAAGTCAGCTCTGGCCCGTGCAGACAGTGCAAGGAGGATCAGTTATTTGTCAGGGAATTTCAGTTCAGGCATATGAGTTATGTTCCAGAAGTGGGGGGCACTCATTAGATGGCCACAACCCCTTGGCCCTGTGGAATATTTACCCCATCAAAAGAGGACAGGACCAGCTAATAATTTGGGAGAACCAGTGCAAAATGAAAATGCAGGACCCCTTGTTCAAAAAGCAGAAAAAAAAAAGTGTTTTAAAGCTACTAAAAAGAAAGCTTTTTCCTTTCTTCCATAGTGCTTCTCAGTTTGTCATGGTGTGTTTTGTTTCATTTTGTCATTTAATGGTGTTCTAAGTAAGGAAGTATTCATATGAATTTCACCATTCATTTTCATATTATCAGCTTTAAATGCAAAGATATCAGCATTTATCTTGTACTCATCATGCAGGGTTGCCAGAAACCTTCAAGTAGTAAAAAACACCAATATCTGCAAAGTACAATAATAGAACAAGGTATGCCTGAACTCACTCTGGAGACTCACTGAACTCCCATACATTGTGGGCCCATCCAAATTCTGTGCTCATGAGGAATCATGAACCTGTATGAATCTGCAAATGGCACATAAGGAATGGAAGCCATACATATAACATGTATCTCCTCAACTTACACACATTCTCC